CTTGTGGTGACAACATCCTTTTATGGAAGCATGGCTCAGTAGAATGCTGGCAAAATAAGCGTTGGCAGCCTTATGCTCCTCCCTACCTCACCCTAGTTTCCGGGTTTCTTTCTAATTTTAATTATACAGAAGTCTGAATACAGAACTCTGGAACCTACTGCTCTAGAGGTAGCCAGGTAGGAATCTCTTTCCTCCTCCTATCCCTTTGGCTTTCTTCGGATTCCAGGCTCTTACAGCAGAACCTGGCCCCGACTCAGCGGGAATTCAGAGGAGGGAAATAACTTCGAGCCAGGAAGAATATAGGGTGACCTCCTGCAGGAGGTGGCATTTGCACGGGGCCTTGAAGGTTGGGTGAACTCATAGGGAGAAGAGAAAGCAGCACCCGAGTAAGGATGTCGAGGTGGAAAAACGCAGCCTGTATGGAAACATCCAGACAGTAAATACAGAACCATGTTCTGTGGGCAAGGCTCGATGGGAGGCTCTGGGTTGTACTAGGGCTCCTGTTTTCAGGGGGGTCCCTGAACTGGTGGTCAGACTGCTGGAGCTTCAGGCCAGATGGACTGGAAGCAGGGCTCTCAAGTCGCTCAGCTGTTGCTGCTGCTGCCGCTCATGAATGCTGACTCTGGCAAGAGCAGTGGGGAATGGCCCCCTGGAAAGAGCTGGAGAGACAGCAGCCTACCACTCTGAGTACTTCAAATACCGGAGGCAGAGCCTTGAGCACATGGCCCTAGCCAGGACTGAGGCTTGTGTGGCCAAGTCACTCCTTCCGGCATGTGGGAGGGGACAGGAGGGCAGATCCATGAAGCAGGATTCTTCTTGGAGGTACATCCTTTCTGTTTGTTTTTTTCCCAAGTGTTTAGGCATCAGATTCCACATTCATCCTTTTCCTCTCGCTTATCTTTTCACGACTTTGGAGAGCAGTCTTCCTTATCTAGGAAACAAATGGCCTCCACGGAGAGCTCAAAACAGCCAAGTCATTTATCTGTTTGGCATGTGTTTCCCTGTTTGTTCTCTCCAGCCTTGAGACAAGAGTTGTGTCAACTGTGGACGGCTGTGCCCCAGTCACTTGAGAGGCATGAATCAATTTCCAGCTGCATTTATCACTTGCTGCCTTAAATCAAGTCTAATCAATGCTTCCTTCATTTGGTATGGATTGAAACTATATATAACACGCTCGGAAATCGGGCGGGGAAGGGAGCTGCAGATCACAAACAAAAATTCCGTCGGGGATTTAGATGGAATGATGTTAAGGAAACATTTGCAATCTTTGATTTGCTTTAATGGAGACACTTGACCAGTCACACAGATTTGTGTTTCTGAAGTTTTAACTTCAATCTACCTGACATGCAATGACATTACATGACAGATCATTTTATACAGGAGGATGTCTGCATCTTCAAAGATTTTATAATTAATACATTCTGAAGCATTGGTGTATTTTTAATAGAGGAACAACGCTAAAGGTGCCTAGTGTTTCTTCCTATATTGTCTTTAATTCATTTCCATTTCTCTTAGAGATGTCTCTTTTGCCACCATTGACTATATGGGTTAATTTCTCGTTACGAGATAGAAAATAAAAATCTCCTTATAACAAAATAGATATCCAGGCGCTCCCTCTGATGTAAAAGAATCTTCTAAAGTCTTAACGGCTGAGAAAACTTGACCCTTTCTCTCTTATGCTCAAGTCCTGGTAATAGAATTTGATCCATGCAACCAAAATGGATTTTTCACTAACAGGTGTGAAACCCCCCCGCCCCCAGCTGTTCAACCGATTTAGAATGTGGTAGCAAGCAGTCCTATCTCATTTGTAAATTAATCCCGTTTGAGGGAAAGATGAGACCAGCACAGTCACTGGCACCTAAAACCAATCATGCCCACAGCAAGGGCCCGAGTCCTTCTCCAAGGCTAACAGGAGAAGAGAGACAGAACACAGAAAAACAGGTCAATGATGATGCCAGCCCAGAAGATGAGGCAATGTGGTGATTCACTGACATAATTAATATTTCTATCTAATCTGCCTAACTGTGTAGACCTGCACCACGAGCATGCCTCAGGAGCGATTAACAGCGCCCTCATTTTCAAAGGGCTGGCTCTCCCAGCGACCTGTGGTCAGGTAGCTGAAAAGAGCCCTGTGCAGTTCTGGGAAGCCAGACAATAATAATAAACCCTCACACTGATTTAATACTTTCCAGTTTATAAAGTGTTTTGAACATACACCCTGTAAGATAAGCAAGAAAGGGAGTTCTAGTCCCATTTCCAAGGTGAAGGGCAAGGTTTGGAGGCTGGCATACTCCGACGGCCTGGTCGCACCTCAGCTGTGGGCCTGGAGCTCAATGCCTTGTCTCTCTCCAGCCCCAAAGCCTTGGTTCTTCCCACTGAGCTGCGGCTAGGCAGTTGCTAAGCCCTCCTCCCTGTGCTTTCCTTATTTTTTCTACTATTTTTTTCTTCTATTACCAAGGGATCTTGGGAAATGCACATGGTTACAAGAGATCCTTAGAGTTGCCTGGCAGGTTGTCTAGTTAAAAAAAATAAATAAAAGTCAGCACCAGTGTTTTAAAGTCATCTTAAACAGAGACAGAGTACTATAGTATATCAAAGTTTTAACCGACTGTGAATAGAGGGTAAAAGAAACGCCACAGACATGGAATTTAAAATTAAGGCGCTCGCTCACTCACGTTGTCTTTAAAACTCACGAGAGTTGTTCAGTGGTTCCCTTGGCTTTGAGGATGGCCAGGAAGGATCATGTTTGCCTATTCTTTGAGAAAAGGAGTAACAGGTTTTTCCACCCAAGACAAGTCTCACTGAAGAAGATCCTGTTTAGATTCCTATGTAAGGACAGAAGCTGATGGAAGGAAAATTTTCCACTACTTTAAACTTTCAGACAAGAGTGGGTTTGCTCAATCTCACGTTAGGAGAAGTAAGTGAGGGGAGTAACAGATAATGCATTTTCAAACTGGCTTCAGGCCATGTGCTACTGAGGAGAAATGCATTTTCAATGGTCACAGGGATTTTGAAGCTCTCCAGGGAGCCTGAGAAAAGTCTCGAACACATTCTAACAAAGCTGTTATAGTGTTCAGGAGTTAACATGCGTGTCAAATGGCACAGTCACTCCAGCTCTTCTGTTAATACAACTGGAATTTAGAGTGGAAATACAAATTCTCAAAACCTATGTATTTTACCCAGAGTAAAAGGGATCACACCCTTTCCTGAAATAAAAATGCTACTGAGATGAATACGTATCAGATTTCATTTCATTTCCTCCCCAAAGCAAACTGGTTTATTCAATTTGTTTATTCATTCAACAAATATTTATGGAGTGCTGAGAACACGGGCGCTGATGACTCAGTGGTAACAAGACACGACACAGACACCTCCCTGAGAGCACACACTCAAGTGGGAAAATTCACATTTAAAATATTGATGGAGACTTGCGTTTCCAATCAAGATGGAGTAACAGGAACCAGATCTACTCTCCCTCCTGATGTACCCAAAAAAGAAAAACAGATATCATACATGAAACAATGGTTTTCACAACACTGGACAGCAGGCAGTGGAAGACAGGGATCCCGAGGGATGGAAAACAAACTCGGGAGCAGTGTGACGGCCTCACCTACTGCCTTGGAAGACTGTCCAGATGCACAGGGAGGGCAACCCAGGCAGAACCCAAGGGACTCTGGAGTTCAGGACACAGAACTGGGGCCTTGGGGAGATCAAGGCACCTAGAGTTTGCAGGACAGCATCCAGGAGAGTAAAAGAGCTGCAGAGAACCTCAAGTATCTGGAGAGGGTAGAGAACTTACTGAGAAAAGCATGAAAATGAAGCCAGGGCAGAACCACGCGAAAGGATTAGAGGGCACAGAGCTCAACACTCACACAGGTGCCTATTTCCATCAGCCAGACTGGAAAACTCATAATCCAGGGGGTAAGGGAGAATCTCCCCTGAGGACTGGCAAACAGTTTTGTCCTAGACTCAGCACTGTTTGAGGCCTGCAAGGCCCACAAGGATCAAACTATTTCCAAGTAACTTAACTGCATTCCCCCAAAAGCTAAAAAATACTTAATAAGAGTACATGTTCAGCACCCAACAAGGTAAAATTCACAAAGTTTGGCACCCAATCAAAGATTATCAGGCATGCAGAGATGACTCATCTGAGGACTAGTATCTAGAATTTATAAAGAACTCTTCAAACTCAAGAATAAGAACAGCAACCCAGCAAATTGGCAAGAGATTTGAACAGACACTTCACCAAAGAAATGTGGATGACACGCATATGTACGCATATGAAAAGATGCTCAACATTAGAAGTCTTACGAATGCAAATTAAAACCACAATGAGATACCACATCACACCTATTAAAATGGTAAAATGTACCAAGCGATGAGAAGCATGCGAAATAACAGGGACTCTCACACGGGGCTGGTGGGAGTGTAAAATGGTACAGCCACTTTGGAAAACAGTTTGGTGGTTTCTTAAACTGTTAAACATACACCTACCATACGGCTCCATCATTCCACTCCTAGATGTTTACCTAAGAGAAACGAAAGCATATGTCCACACAAAGACTTGCATACAAATGTTCGTAACAGCTTTATTTGTAACAGCCAAAAGCTGGAAACAACCCAAATGTCCATTTAATGAAATATTGCTCAGATATGGTAAAGAAACAAACAAACAAAAAAAGAACAAAAAACCCTGATATATGCTACACTGATGAATCTCAAAATAATTATACCGAATGAAATCTGATAAAGAAGAGTACATTTTATATGATTCAATTTACATTAAATTGTAGGAAATGCAAACTAATGTACAGTGACAGAGAGCAGATGGGTGATGCTTGCCTTGGGGAATGGGGGGTGGCATGTGGGGGCTGGGGGTGGGAGGGGGTAGCGAAGAGGCAGGAGGACACTTGGAGATGGCAGATGATGGGCAGGCAGGGCATTCTGACGGCAGGTTTCACTTGGTTTACGCACCAGTCAACACACACCACGCTGTACACTTTAGACAGATGCAGTTTATTGTATATCTAACATATCTCCATAAAGCTATTAAAAATATTAATGGGCTTTACATTCTAGAGATTCTGGCAGAAATACTATTTTCACTTTCAAATATTAATTACACTTGAATAAAAAAAAACTTTAGAACTTTATTTTTAAAGGTGCAACAAGAAAACCAACAGTTATCAAAATTATACATGACAACCAATGCTGTATCCACTAAGGAAAAGTTCAAGTGAAAAGGAAGAATTCTGACCCAGTAAACAAAACCAAATCTGTCCTAACTTTGAACAACGGATGAGACCACTCAGAGTCAATCCTCTGGCGTCTGCCGGCAGTCTCTCCCCCGCACACCACCCTGCTTTCCAGCAGCGGAGCCCTCGGGCTCGGAAACGTGGACTGTCGTCTCCAGTTGCTCTCCGAGCTCCTGGATCAGAGGCCCAGATGCTCCAGGAGCCTGGGAAGGGGCAAGCGGCTTCTCCTGGCCAACATCAGAGCTCGGGAGGGCCGAGGCTGTACCCTCAACACCGGCATCCCAGAGCAGGGCAGCACCGCTCTTCTCAGCAAAGAGACCGAGCAAGGCATTTCCTGCCTCGGGTTCACTGCCTCTGGGCTCCTCCTGCTCAGAGTCTGAGTCTTCAGTCTCAGATGATGTGGTGCTGTCTGATTCCTCTGAATCGCTGGTCTCAGAACTGGAGGCCGGTGTCTGCTGCCCGGAAACGGAATGGGCCGCTGCTTTTGATGCAGTTTCTTCCTCCTGGACCAGAAGTGCTGCTGCTTCCAGTTCCTCCAGCTCTAATCCCAGCTGGGCCTTGGTCAGGGATGCTTCCTTTAGGGCTTCTGCAAGAGCTGCCAACTTTTTGGACCTTGAAAACCATTTCAAGAAGAAATGTCAGGACCATTTTAATTGGCCTGAGGCAACAGGGTACAAAGTTTAAAGAAATAACCAAATAAAGCTGGATCCACACCTCACATGGTACACCAGGATAAATCCCCAAACAGACCAAGGACATAAATGTCAAAAATGAACCAAGTATTACAGGGAGACGCAGGAGATTTCCTTTATGACCCTAGAATAAGGAAGGCCTTCCTGACTATGGCTCAAAATCCAGAAACCACAAAGGAAAGGCAAAGATTGATAAATTTGCCTAATAAAAAGCAACAATTCTGTAGGGAAAAAGAAACACATAAGAAAAGTCAAAAGGTAATGCAAAATTGAAAAAAAAATATTTGCAATTCATATCACAAAGCAAGGCCTGATTCTCCTAAGAGAGTTGTTAAAAATGGAGATAACAATCCATCGGAAAAATGCGCAGAAGACACAGGCAGCCAATTCTCACAAAAAGAAATACAAATAACTCTTAAATATGTCAAGAGATGTTAAACAAAATAAGAGAAACACAAATTAAAGTCATCCCGAGATCTATTTCTCATTTATCAGATTGGCAAAAATCCAAACATTTGGTAACCCTGCTAGCAAGGCTGTGGAGGAAAGGCGCTTTCATACACTGCTGGTGAGAGTAAACAAGCCCGATGCTGGAAAATCCAGCAATAACTTTCAAAACCGAAAACGTCCACACCCTTGACCCAGCAACACCACATCTGGAAATTAAACACATAGGCTGCATGACACAGGTTCCAGATTATTTGCTGTGCCGTTGTTTTTAATACTCCAAAGTAAGAAACAACCAAATGACCATCACCATGGTACTGGTTAGGCTGGTGGTGTCCACATGAAGAAAAAGTCGACAGCGATGTAGCCGACGGAGCTCTCCACGGGCGCACCCAGATAGACAGCAACAACAAAAGGCCTGCCAGGTGTACATGCTGCATTCTATGTTAAACAAACAAAAGAGTGAAGAAATAAAAGCACGTTTGTATTTGCTTGGACACTTACCCGTGAACTCTGGAGAGCTACAGAAAACACTCACATTTATGTGGCAAGAGCACAACAGGAACTGGAAAGGTGGAGGATGGTGGTGAGAGGGAGACTTTTCACTGCATATTGTTTAAGAAAGAAGAGCAACGTTTGGGAGCAGCATGGAGTGCTTTTTATTTTGGGCAGAAAACCACCTCATGCTACTTGAGAGGATATTTGTCCCTGAATTTGTAACATGACATTATACTGAATAAACTTTTTCATTAACTTGGATGTATTTTCGTTTGGTTTTTGAAGCAACATAAAGCTTACGGCAGTTCTCCAAAAACGCTGTCTTTGCTGTTCTATAGAGGAAGATCTGGTGCGACAACTGGAAAAAAGCGGCAGAGTGAGAATGGCACACGTGTTGACATGGCTTCTGTGTTTCCCTAACTCCAAAAATAAATGAGTGGCTTGAGACAAACTAGATAAGCCGAGTTCACAGGATAAATTCATCCATCAAAGCATAATCCATCCCATAATATTGGGGAAGTGAGGCTTCATTTCAACAGAGCTGAAGTGTTGGATGGTGATTTTCATCTAAGTGCCTGGATAAACCTGAGACCCTTCTGTCTCAAAATGTTTAGCGTAATAGTGACTTTGTACAGGGATGCTTCCCCCACCCCCACCCCACCCCACCCCTAGGTCTCTCCACAAGTGTAATCAGGCCCCAGAAGCCCCAGTGCAGTCAGTGTCCAAGGGTGGGTTGGACAAGAACAATGGCCATCATGGATGGGCAACTTTCTCTTAAGCAGGGAAAGCCCTATGTTTCAGTGCCGGAACTGCCAGAGCTTAGAAAAGGAAAGATGGTCCAGAGTAAAGAGGAAAACTCAGGTGAGATCTGCTGGAGTTGGTTAATGATTCACCAAAGGGCTGTTAACTCTGGGTGAACTCTGGTCAGTTTAAGACATCTTTAAGAGCACAGTTCTTAAGACGGCTGCAATATAACCTGCATCCATGTCCAAAACAGCTATAGATGATGCCACCATATATTCTGAAGCTGTGGCTACCAGTGGTCAAGGATCTGGTCAGAGCTCGTGGACCAATTTAAAACCTCTCTGCCCCAAGGTCCTGCCAGCATCTAAGAACTAGTTCACTGCCGTCTTTTTCAATGAAAAAGGTCCTCCTCTCTGGGTGACACATAGCTTTAAGAGATAAAGAGCAAGGAACTTGGGAGAGAAGACAATGCCTCTTATTAAATTATAATGTGAAAATAATATTTCAAAATAAAAGCTTTGACACTTCAGTGACACATATCTTACATTTTTTAACCGCCACAATAAATACTTTCAACAATTTGCGAAGGATGACACTCCACAAACATCACTGCACTGGCTCCTGCAGACAACCCCATGAATCAGCTTCATTTTCATCCCCACGTGACAGATGACGAGAAAGAAGCTTGGAGAGGTTAGGAGACCTGCTGAACTTCAAGTTCACCCAGTGCATGGGGCAGTCAGGACAGAAAGCCCACACCTCTGAGCGCCAGGGCTCTGTATCTACTGCCACAGGGCCCCCCAGGAATACTCAGGCTCTGAAAAGGTTTCCTTCTTAAGACCACATTCTTGACTCCTTCCCAATTTGAACTTCACTCAACACCTTCCGAAGGAGCAAGTTCAAACCTGCACAAGGCCCAGAATTCTCCAAAGAAACTGTGACTGGTCTCCTTAGCTCAGCGATCTTAAATGAAGTATACGTCTAAGCTTTAACTACAATCGTAGAATCGGAGGGAAAAACTGAATTATTTTTGTGCATGTTAATGAATACAGGAGATATATGTACTCAAGTTAAAATTATTTGGATCTTTGTTATTGCCTAAAAGTATCCCATTTAACCGCCAATTATAATAGTGTTAAGTTTGAAATTTCAAAGCCCCTCATCTGAAACCTTGGCTCTTTTCAGAAAACATACCTCACATAGGCTGGGACTAAAGAAAAGTGTCAACTCTAACAGGCAGGAAAGGGGTGAGGATGAGCCACGTGACCCAAAGAGAAATTCCTGCCTGTTACCAGCTGAGGTGAATTTTTACCCTTCAGGGAAAAGGTTTTTTTTTTCCCCTCACTTTTGGCACATGTTTAAAGTGACCCATTTATATAATGTTTAAAAAGTGGATTATATGTTGATTTTTTCCCCCTTACACCCCAATTCATCCTTATTTCTTATTATCCCACTTTTACCACCTCAAATTGGCTAGTTTCCTAAACTGATATTCAAGTTCTGACAGAAACTTTACAGAAGCAGCATTCTGAACTCTCAAAGAATGCTAGGATAAAAAGGGATTACATTTTTCAAAAAGTCATTAATGTAGAAGAGGACCCAAGAGTCTGAGGAATGGACACTGCATTTGTTTTTATTCAATTATTTTACACAGATAACTTAGCAATCACTGCTCGCAGAAAAGGAAATTATTCCTTTGGAGAAAAAAATGAAGCCGGGAAAGAGTAGCCTTTTTGTTCTTTCTAACACTGGCACAATTAGAGTTGGTTCTAAGTCTGCCACTCCTTGTAAATTCTAGAATCTAACTCTGTAATGGCCTTTCCATTTCAGAAAGCACCTCGTTTAACGCAGTTAGTGGTTTTTCACTGTCACACTCAAAACAGACCAGGCTAGTTCATGTCAAAGAGCCTTGTCAAATGACATTATTAGTTAAGCAGAACGCTTACAAAAACCAGGGACATGTGGATATACTCAACGGACACATAGCCCGAGTTACTAGTTGCACCTGTGGTATGTATTTCGTATCTAAGTGAAGAGCTCCTACCTGCTAAGATGTGTTTATTACCAAGCGAAGAGATTCAGCATTTAAAAGACACATGATAGATCATACTAACGTCATATTTCAATAAAATTATATTCAACGTAGATTTTTCCTAGAAAATTTTTGGAAATGTAATTCTGCCATGTAACTTAAAAAAAAATCCATTCTGCTTATATATGTGAAATAATATTCTTTTGGAGGATTTTTTTTAATGTAAAGACTGTTTTTTGACAAGTTACAGTAGATCCAGTTCCCATGGAAGAGTAATAGTTAACAGCCGAGTGTGTATAACTTTACTATAGCTAAGCTGATATAAAATTTCCTCAGTTATTTTATATTTGGTGACTGAGTTTAGGAAAAAAAAAAAAAGGGAACGACAGCCTTATGAAACAGCCAAAACAAAGTGCAAAAGGAGTCCTGAAATGTAGGAAAAAGAAAACTGGGTATAAATAGAAAGCATACATCCTGTTTCTTGCTGTAGAGTTTTGTCTCAAACTATCAATCAACTTTTCACCACTTCCTGCAATAGCAGGTCTACTATAAATCTTGTAGTAACTGACTAGGTTTCATTTCCTCTGCCAAAACCTGCTTACCTGCCAGGCGTGACATTCTGACACTGGAGCCAGCAACTGATCATGCAGGACAAGACTCCAGTGAGGCCACTCCTGACACACTTCATACTGGATAATGGAACACAATGACTTGGCCTTTCAATTTCAAAGGACACATACACACACAGAATCTCAGGTTCTTTGGGGGAGCAAACAATTTGCTCTTTAGAGGGCACTGACGATAATGACATATAATCATAATTCCTCTCTTTTGAAAAGAACCAGTTCCAAACATCAAACTCTCCTGCCCCAAACACATTTATGCAGCCTGATCTACAAGGTACTGCATTAACTTTAGATAGAACTTGCTAGTCAAACTCTTCTCTGAAAAATGCCACAGAGGACAAATACCAACTGACGTACAAATGAACACAGAATTGTCAGCCCTTATTCTCTACCAGTGAAAAACATTCCCGGTTTAGTCATTATTAGCAGAAACAACTGATCTCTTTGAACAAGAAACTACTCATTTAATAGACAATACTGTAAGATAAAAGTTATTTAGGCTATACTGAGTTTGGGCCAATGAAATAATTTTTTTGTCCTGTTTTCAGCTTGACTTAATACCATTCTTTGGGC